CACCCCTCCTCCCCACCCCTCGCTCCCTCTCTCCTCCCTCCTCTGCTCGCCTCGCGCTCGCTCTCTCTCTCCGCCGGCCTCATCGGAGAGAGTTGCAGGTACCTTCTCTCTGCCCTCCCTGCCTGCTCCCCGGGCGAAATTGTAGGGCGCTGGAGCCTGAAGTGGGGACGAGGAGGGAGACTTTTATTTTTTGTTGTTGTTGCTATTATTTTATTCCTTTTTTTTTAATTCTTTCATTAGCGAAAATTATTCTGCAGCAGGATGATGAATCTTTTGCAGGAGTCTGCCTAGTGAGCAGGGACGCTCCCAAAGACAGAGCAGTGGCCGAGATGCAGGACCCCACCAAAACAAAACTGCCTGATGTGGCATGTGCTTCTCTCTCTTTGCAGTTCCCTCTGGGCCTGTGTGGACTAGGAGCACAAGCCGGCGCCTGACTGGCAGGAGAGGAAAGCGGAGACTCCTTCAGGTTTCCAAAGAGGTCCGAGTGGACTGCATTAGTAAGTAAATACTCCTCGCGTGGTGTGTGTCCCTGCATGGTGTGGTCTTCTTCTGACTCCTTCCTCCCCAGCCCTTTTCTTTAGCAGATATTGATATATACAGAGAGATATAGATACATAGTGTGTGTACACATACGCGCACGCACATGTGTCTATGTATATGCGTATTTCTGCTTGAGGTCGTACAGCTCTGGTCAAGGAGGAACTTGGCAGTGGTAGATTGAACTGTTTTCAGGGGGAAAAGTGCATGGAGTGGTTTGCTTACCCCCTTTAAGATGAGCAGATTGAAAGTGAATGCTGTGTCAAGGCACTGACTATGTCAAGTGCTATGTAATGCCTACATTAGCCTGAGTGTAGACATGTGGTAGATTTTAGATAAAATCTAAACAAAGGAATGCACCTTCAGGAGAGTCTGGAGCATTGTGACCAGCTAAGTAATGCCAGGTGACAAGGCATTCACTTAAGGTGAAGTGTGCATGGATCGTACATGCCAAAAATAAAAATAAAACTAAAAAATCCTTGTTTGCCTTCAGCTTTACTCATTTTTAGTCCAGGTCTCCAAAGTTGTGAATTTTTGTTCTGAAGTTTATTTTACGTATATAATGCTTGCTTATTTATTTTATTTTCTCCTAATGAGGGTAGCAGTTCCAGAAGACAGTTTTGCTCTCTAAGTGCTTTTCTAGGACATATCCTAAAGTACTGATCACACTTTCCCAATATAAGAGAAAGATCTTGCGGAACGGAAGGGTAAACTCCTTTGCAAGGGGTTCGTGAAAGGGCTGAGGTTTGTTACTTGCACTGTGGGTCTGAGAAAAGGTACCAAGATGAAACAGAGGTATGTCATGAGGTGTCTGGTTGTAGGTGCTGTTTAGCACTAAATATATCCACATCTGGGGAGGGGAACTTTTGCAGGCATTATTTCCCTTGGGACAGTGGACCCATTATTGACGTTTGCTGCATCTCCGGTAGGAACAGCCAGTACTAGTATTTGAAAGTTAACTATTTCCTAGGTAATGGAAGGAAATAAGGATGAGGAGTATGACAATGAAAATATTTGCTCATGTTTGCTCATATCTAAATAAAACCTTTGTGTTATGTCAGTAGGAATATAGTCGAGTCAGGTTTTTTGAATGTACTCGAAGAAATCAATAACATTTCAGCATTTTTTTTCTCTATTCCTGCCAAATGGACTTGGATTTGAATTCTTCACATGTTATTGTGTCTATTGCAGGGACAGTTTGAATAGCAGAAACTTATTTCTTTACAAATTTTTGACAAGATCTGATTGTTCAACAGTATAAATCCAGAATAATCTGTAAATAGATGATACACTTCAAATCTTATGAACCGTGTCTTTGTTTTTCATCTAATCAGAATGTACTTAAACACTCATTAATTTTGAGTTTAGAGAAGCTACTAAAGATATATTTAAAAATGTGTTTTATTAAGAATCTCAATGTGAAATTAACATTGGCTTTACACACGTAACTTAAAATCAGTCACTGTCCTTAGAAATGAAAGTTTACTAAGGTTAAATGAATTATTTTCTTATTTGTAAGGCAAGGCAATTATTATTATTATTATCATTATTATTTTGTAACAAGACTAAAGAATTAGACCTTATTTTAGTAAGTGGTCATGATAAAGGAATAATACTAAAATGTGCAGTAAGAATAGTATTCAGAGTTGCTTTCAGGTATTCATAAACTTAAAGCTAGTAATAATTACAAAGTGTAGACTGCAAGTCCTGAAGTGGTGAATCAGGGTGACTTAGAGTTGCATCACTGTACTCGCTGGGTAAGTGGTGGAAACAATTACAGCAGAAAAAATGTCTGATGAACTTGTGAACTTGCAGAGAGAAAAAAGACCAGCAGACCCGGGTAGTTCAATAAGGCATCCTGTCTTTGCTTTTCAGTATTGTGAATTTATCCTTCAGTGTTAAAACATGAAGTGGGTTGCTGGGATTTGGGGGATGGAATGACGCTCCTCCTCTCTCTCCTCCCCTCCCCCACCTGCTTTTTTTCCCTTCTTCTCCCTTTTCTCTGAATAGGTAACATTTTCATTCGGCTCATTGCTGTGGTAAACTCTCTGTGGGCAAAACATTAAAAGGATAGATCCACATAATTTGCATGAATAGTTTTGAGAGTTCATATAGCAAAGTTTATTAGGTTAAACTTTGCAGTTATGCTGGGTAGTCCCCAAACTGGAAGCATTTGGTACTGAATGCCTAACAAAAAACATTTTGACAATTTCTATGGTGGTGGTGAGGGAGAGAGATTGAAATATATTTGAATAATCAGTTATGTAATACAATGTTTAGCTTAGGTTGAATCACAGCAAACTTGTGGCTTTATTAGTTTGGAACATATTCTCAATGATTTGACTTTTGGAGTTCTGTAAATCTAGGATTTCTCCTGGCACTTCTTCTGTATCTTCATGAAAAATGTCTTGACACATACCTACTCTTGCTGTAATTATTACGTACTATGAAGGAAGATCACCTGAGTCAAATCCTAGACATTAATTTTGGTATATCTTATACTTGATCATATATGTGTGTATGGTCTTGACTATAATTATTGATATAAAAGGATGTTGAATCAGGTCAGCTTAATTCAAAAGAAACAACAAGGACCTCATGCTGTGAAGATAGTTACCTCTTAAAGTTGGCAGAATAAAGTTGCATATGTCAGCAGTAATATGTTTTATTATGCAATTGTTCTTGTTATTCAGATCAGATAATGGCCTGATAAAATATATAAGCAGTCTGCAGAGAATGAATGATTAATTGCTCTACCATGTGCTTACTGTTGGAATTCTTTCTAATAAGCTCCTACATACCTGCATTAGCTTTCAGCCGACAAAGTCAATTAACATTGTCTACTTTAATATTAAACATATATCGTACAAGCCTACTACCAAACTTTGTGGTGATAACCTGTGGTGGAAAACTGATGACATGCTACATGATAACAGCTGCATGTGGTTTTATTGAAGAAACCATCAATAAACAAACAAGCAAAATGCTAGACTGCGGATCGCAAAATGCTGGATTGTATTTTGAAATGGTGGATATGGTAAACATTAACTGGTATATGGATTTTTTTTTATCAGCACGGTTTGTGTGTCAGATTAATTTATGTAACATAAATAACATCTATGTGTGCGTATGCTAATTCTACAGGTTGCAACTATTGCAATAAGTTGAAAAAACTATGACATCATTGGCTAAATTGGGAAACAGGCCAGTCAAAGATTTGGGGAAAGGATACCGATATTTTTTATCAGTCCAAAGCCTGCCTAATGTGAAAACAGATTGGTACCTGAAGCCCACATACTTAGAATAATCTTAATTGATTTAGTATCACTTTGAAGACCTTGTAAGCAGCAAAATGTTCTTGGCAGCAAATATTAACAGTGACATTTATGCATATGATCTATAGTCTAGGTTTGGGATTTTTTAAGTTTGGATTTTTATATCCTATTCATGAAAAGTATTTTTTCTTTTATCACTAGTCCCAGAGATTTTAAGGAACTTTACTGTGAAAGACATTCAGAGAAAAAAAAAAAAGAAAAAAAAAGAAAATCTCCACTTGGAATGCATGTGTGTTTTCTATTTTTTACCTGAGGCACATTGTCACTAAGGTATACATTAACGTACATGTAATATATCACAAGTCACATATGCAAAGGGTTTATTTAAAGACTGTTAATGTTTCTCTCCATTCCTATAGCCTTAGGATTTTGTTTTTATAAGCTTAACGGAAACTTTGATAAAGTCAACAATTATATATATATACATACACACACACATATATATGTATGTGTGTGTGTATGTGTATATATATATATACACACATATATATACCATTTATACCATGGTGGTAATTAAATAAGGATAATAAGGTCACAGAATATTGACCAGATCATAGTTGAACAAGGAGTGATTTGTTCCCTAATATTTTGGACATAATATTTGATTGCTACGGAAAATATTTAATAGCAAACAGATGGATTTAAAATTCCATTAGGACATAAGCAGCAGGCATAGATGAACCACTTCTCAAACAAGAATTGAATATACTTAAAACTAAGAAATGCATGTGTGAACACACACACAATTAGATAAAAATGAATGAATATATATTCATACATATATTCATATATATATATATTTAGAATTCTTAATGATATTAGATGCTGTCTGATTTTCAATATATCCATTCTGGTAGTTCTCTAATCAGTTTCAGTATAAAATAATAATAGAAAAGCTAGCAATAAATGGAAAATTACAGAGAAATTACTACTTTTATGATCATTCTGAGAATTGAATGATGCAGCTATTTTCATTTGTTGTTAATAGTGGCAGAATGAGTGTTATTTCTGCTATTTTTGTATATTTCTAATCTATTAAATATACCTTGTTATGTGCAAATTACTGTGCAAGTCATCTATTTTTTTCTGTATATCTTTACTACGAAATAGATTGCCACTTGTAAAAAACAGATACTGTATCAATACATAACTCTAAACTCGAGTTCAGTTTAATGAAATTTTTAACTGAATAGGGACTGCAGAATCTGGTTCATAAAATAATTGTTAAAAAATTTCTGACAGCATAACTAAAATTTATCATCATACAAATATATTTTAAATTTATATTGAATGCTTTTAAATTTCTTTAAAGTTCTCTGAAATACTATTACTCTTTCTGGTTTATGCACTAACACTGTGCAGAAATGTAAAATTAAGGATTTACAGATGTATTTGGAGAGAGAGATATCTTGATGTCTTGATGGAAAATCTCAGAATAGTTTGATGACTTTTCATAAGAACGCGGTGTGGAATTTGTTCCAGCTGTGAGCAGCAGGAGCCTCTTTTCTCCATAGTTAAAAGGAAGATACGTATTATAGGCCCACTCCTCTGCAACACTGGGAATAGAAAAATATTCTCAATGTCAGTCAGTCCAGGGCTTAATTCACTTTTCGGTGTGAAAAGCT